ACCCTCCATGCCGTGAACAGGCGCTTTATCCACCCTATATTCTTCTCTCGTTCCTCTGCCCGTGCCTTGGTCTTGTCGTTGTTTCGCACCCATGTCTGTATGGCAATCGAGGCTGCCTTCCCCACTACCTGTAGTTCACTCGTCACCTCTCCCGCGAGCTCCCTTCTCTTTCTTTCGGGTATGGAGTCCGTGAGTGCGGGTAGCGTGCAGGCAATCACGGGCGCTATTTTGTCGTACTCCTCTTCGGCGAGCGCTCCAAATCTAGACCCTTTCGCCTTTAAGGAGGCTGCCCTCGCTCGTCTCAGGAATGTGGCGGTGTCTTTTGAGTCCGGCGCCTGAGCGAGTGAGCGCCTCCCTTCGCATGTTAGTGTATTTTTTTTCTCGCGATGTCCACCCCGCCGCGCCGCTCGCGCCGCCTCGCCCGAGCCACAGACGCTCCCTCGCCCAGGACGCCGCCGCCCACCCGCCTCCTCGACCTCCCCACGGACCTCCTCGCGCGCGTCCTCTCTCACTTCCACAGCCCCATCGACATCGCTCGCGTCGCGGCCGTCTCGCTGCTCTTCCACGCCTCGCTTGCGCTGGAGGGCGTCCGCTTGTGGGCGCAAGGGCGCGGCTACGAGCTGCCGGCGCAGCCAGAGGATGAGAGCTGCGCCGTGCGGTGGCTGTGCTATTCGGCGCTGCTGCGCGAGTCCAACCCGCCGGCGAGGGTGGCGGCAGGCAATATGCACAGCGTCTTCATCGGCGGCGAGGGGCTCTCGTCGTGCGGCTGCGCGCCGCATCACATCCCAGGCCTCCTTGGCCATGGTGAGGGCGTGGCACGGCTCAACACGCCGACCCGCCTCCCGTCGACGCTGGGCGGCGAGCGCGCCGTGAGCGTGTCGGTTGGAGCATGGCACAGCCTCGCCCTCACCGGCGGCGGCGCCGTTTGGAGCTGGGGCCAGGGAGGCTTGGGTGCGCTGGGCCACGGTGACCAGCAGGGCCAATGGCAGCCGAAGAAGGTCGAGGCATTTGATCGCCGCATCGTCGCCGTTTCGGCGGGATGTCACAGCCTCGCCCTTACCGCCGACGGAGCCGTCTTAAGCTGGGGCTATGGCCATCTGGGCCACGGCGAGCTGCAGCTGCAGCTGCTGCCGAAGGAGATCGAGGCCTTGGCTGGGAGGCGCGTCGTCGCGGTCTCGGCGGGAGGAGGTCACAGCCTCGCCCTCACCGCCGACGGCAGTGTCTGGAGCTGGGGCTACGGTGGCTTCGGCCAGCTGGGCCACGGCGACGGACAGAACCAGCTGCTGCCCAAGAAGATCGAAGCCTTTGCTGACCAGCGCGTCGTCGCTGTGTCGGCTGGAAACGACCACGGTCTAGAGGACCACAGCTTCGCCCTAACCGCTGACGGAGAGGTCTGGAGCTGGGGCAGTGGCGCATCTGGCAAGCTGGGCCACGGCAACTCGCTGCGGCAACTGCTGCCCAAGAAGGTCGAGGCCTTTGCTGGGCAGTGCGTCGTCGCTGTGTCGGCGGGAGTGCGTCGCGGCCTCGCCCTCACCGCCAACGGCAGCGTCTGGACCTGGGGCTTTGGAGGGCGAGGCCAGCTGGGCCACGGTGAGACGCAGGACCAGCTGCTGCCCAAGAAGATCGAGGCCTTGGCCGGCCAGCGCGACGTCGCTGTGTCGGCTGGAGGCGACCTCAGCTTCGCCCTCACCGCTGACGGCGCCGTCTTTGCCTGGGGCAGGGGCGACCTCGGCTGCCTAGGCCACGGAGAGGACCTGTCGGACCAGCTGCTGCCCAAGAAGATCGAGGCGTGGGTGCGGGACTGAGGTCGCGGGCATCGTGCGGTGGTCGCGTAGAGACGCAGACGGCACCCGACCACGCAATGAAAGGAGCGCCCACAACTCGAGGTACAGTACGGATGTGACTGTGATCTGTGTCGAATGTCCCGGCCTCCCATCTCGAGCTCGCGAGGCGCTCGAGTCGAGACATACGTGGTTATGACTCAGATCTCAGATTGCAATTATTGCGACATGCGCGAGTGTCCCAGTACCTCACTTTCCTGCTTCCTCTCTGCCGCCATAAACAAACAAACAAAAACGCACACCTCTACTGTGAGATGGGTAAAAAGGAACAGGTCCCCGCACTGCGCCCGCCGCCCGTGGCGCGTGCGCCGCGCCCGATCTTTGTGCAGGCCGTGGCCCGTGTGCTCCGTGCACGTGTGCGCACCTGCAGCCAGACGCGAGACGGTCCTCTAGACTCTTCGCTTTTCTAGGGTACCATACTTGACCCCCCCCCTTAAGGCGCCACGTCTTTTCCTACCAACCCAGCGCCGATCTCGGCGGGGCGTCAGCGCCTCTCGGTGGGGCATCATGAGCTCACGGGGCTGCCCGACGGGGCAGGCCTCGTGCTGATGGACCCAGCCGAGGTGCCCGACCAGTCGGACCCGCGCCGACGCGCCGCGCGCGACCACCAGCCAGCTTGCCGGCCGGGACGAGCACGGTGCGTAGATCGCGCCGGCACTCTCCGGTCCATCCGGAATTTTGTCGTTCTAGTTAGCACTGCTGCTGCAGACAGGGCCCGCGCGACCCCATGCCCTTCCCATATCTCGTGTCCTGAGGCTTGGCGCCACCCCGGTGACCGCCCACAGGTGGCTGTTCGCGGGCGCGGCGAGCGTGCCGCTTGAGCGGACCAGGCTGAAGCCACCTCAGGACCCCACCTCGAGCCGGTGGCGCCACCCGCGACCCTGCCCGCCTTCGCCGCGCCAGCCGCCGGCTCGCTGCAGCCGCAGCGCGCGGTGCCCGACCACCGACGCGCCCGCCCGCTCGCCTTCTCGCGCCGCCTCTCGGCGCGCAAAGCCGCTCACACACCGCGTACTCAGCCATCGGCGCGACATCACTCCCGCGCAGGCACCTCGCGACGGGTCGGCGCACTCGTGCGGCTCAACGCAGAACTACGGAGCGACCTCCGCCGCGGCTCGGCGCTGCCCATGGCAGCAACAGGTGCCGCCCCACCACCCGCCTGCTGCCTCTGCCTCTCTCAGCCATGCGACCCCTCCGCCAATGCACACCTCAAACGCGACGTCAGATCCCGCTGCTACTGGCAGCATTCGCGGCGATGAGGCCTCCGCCAGCACTGATCATCACAAGTCGTCTGTTAAGCTACACGTTTTTGCCCTGTGCAGGTGAGCGGACCGCTGCAGCCATGGTGGAGCCGCGGGTCGGGTGAGGGAATGGCCTTTTGGCGCGGCGCTGCTATGTGCCTGCGCGCTCATGGCGCGTTCAGGGGTGCGCCTGCGGTGTGTAGACTGCGGGGCGCCGCGATAGCGCGGCGCCGACGATTGTGTCGCTCATTGTCACACCGTCGACACGGTCACAGTGTGTGTGCAGTGCGTCCACTCCGGCGACCGTGACGCCGTCGGTTCTCGCCTATACCGGCTAGTGTGGAGCTCTCAGTGTGGTTGCGTGTTTTACTAGTGATGCTGCACCAGGCGGCCTGTTTTTAGCAAAAAGCAGATACCACATCGCGTGTGGTCATCGAAAAACCGCATGTTCGCCCGTCTGGGACCTCTTCGTACGGCTCCAAAAACCGCTCCTTAACGACGGCTACGCGGCCCGGCGGTCGATCTGCGCCTTCTCAGCGGTGGAGGGGATGTGGGAGGTACGTGCGGACCGCGTGGTGCTGCGATGGTTTGACGAGTGCGACTCCCAGCGTCGACTTTTCGACCCCACGGAGCCTCTGCTGCTTCGGGGGGGGGGGGGTCTGCAGACCACCCGGCCGAACTTCAGAGTCGCGGTGCTCCTCAAATACCGCTCAAACGCCCACGATGTTGTGGAGGGGACATATGCTGATGATCCTGGCCCGATTGGTTTGCTCAGAAAGCTTCTGGGCGGTCGTTAAGGTTCGCTCCCCGCACACCGGCCCGGAAGTATCGTACCCTAGACTTTACCGAATTCGAAACGAAAAGAAAGAGGCGGCGTGGTCACACTGAGACACTGACACACAGGCTGTTCACAACACGCAGTACAGTGCGAGGCGTGGCGATAGAAATCGGGGCCTCGGCATCCAGCAGCCGATTTCTGTTTCGGCGAGGGAAATCGGGCAAGCCAGCAGCCGATTTCTATAAGCGCGATTTCTGCCAAAATTTTCTTCGGCGCTGCGCGCCGTTCACTATAGTCCATATTATACGTACGAGTACACACTAAAAGGTTGCGCCTGATACGAATTCAATCTCCCCTCTTTGACTGCACTCCAAGTGCTCCAAGTGCTTTGAACCCACTAAAGCGTAAAGGTAGCGGCGGGTCGCACAAATATTCTCTCGTCATGCGCTTGCGTCCGCACCCACGGCCCACGCTGCAAGCATTCATTTATTTCGTGTGTGCGTGCTCGCTCGTGCGTGCGCCGACCGACCGAACCAAATTCTGCTTCAATCAACAAACCCGTCGAGACGCTCTTCCACCTACAGTTGCTCCTCGCCTCGTCGCTCCGATCCCGCCTTTGGCGCCGTGACTTGGACCACCAAGAGCTGGCTGGGGCTGCAGAAGCAGCGCATCTCAGTCGTTCTGCACACGGCCATCGCAGAGCAGGTCGTGAATGAGCTTGCCTGTGGCGGGGGTGGGCGGGTGCACGGAGCTAAGTGCCTCGCCACCCTCGCAGGAGTCGCTTAGGCGGCTCCCGTGGTGTACCTGTGTTAGTGCCAGTGCGCGCCAGTCCCGTGCCCAGTGTTGTGCGAGGGAGTTTTGTTGTAAAATTCTTTCTCTTTTTCGCACGACACTGGGCGTGCGAGGGAGTTTTGTTGTAAAATTCTCTTTTTCCAAGATTCTTTTTCTCGCGAATGACCAGCTAAAGCCGCGTGATCCCAGGATACACCAAAGAATCCTTGCGCTCGCCGGTGTTGGCAACGGCTCCTGAGACGTGAGGTAGCGCCGCGGACCTCCGGCTCCTGCCGCGTGCTCGCGCCGCGCACCCACCGGCCGCCTCTCGCGCTGCCGCTTGGGACGTCGAGAATCCACTCTCGCTGCGCAATGGACCAGGGCGGAGTGGGGCAGCATGGACCAATACAGGCAAACGGGGAAGGGGGGGGGGGACTTTTGCCGCCAGCTGCCCAGCCCCTGCCGCATAGCGCGCATATTTCCTTTGCTCTCCCCTTGAGTTCCCGCAGCCAGCTGAGCCCGCCTCGCGCCCCTGCACATACTCCCTGCTCCATTTCGTGCCAGGCGCCCTCCGCAACGGCCCTCGCGGTGCTGGGCGCCGAGGCGCTCGGCTCCTCGCAGGGCGCGAGCCCCTGCAACCGCGCGCCCTCCGCCACCAGCGCCTCCGGCAGTGAGACATCGACAACCTCTTCACAGTCTTCGGACGGCACCGCGGACCTACCCGAGGTTGGCGCCGCGCCGTCGAGCTGCAGCGGTACGTGCGTATGGGACCCAGCCACGGTCGGCGAGTCGAGCGAGACGCCGCTCGAGGACTACCTCGGCCGCGCCAGGCGCCCCTGGGGAGGGGCCCGGGGAGAGGGAGGGGGGAGAAGAGATCTCGCCCCGCGAATTAATGATTCTGTTTGGCCACGTGGCCCGCGCCAGGCGCCTTGGGGAGGGGCCGGGGAGAAGGAGGGGGGAGAAGAGATCTCGCCCCAAGATGAATACAATGAATGATTACTGTATTGGCCACCTCGCCCGCGCAGGCGCCCCCGGGGGGGGGGGGGGGGAGTATCGCTCCCCGAGATTGACATTAATAGAACTCTGTTATTACAACCGCAGGAGCGACCTCTCGGACTCCCGCCTGCGGAGCGTGTGGGAGGAGGCCGCCCTATCGGCCCTTCAGTCCAGCAAGGGAGACCACGCCGCGGCGCTGGCGGCCTTGCGGCTCGAGGAGCAGGCGGCGGCGGCGTCGCTCTTCTCTTCGGACGAGGTGGATGAGCTCCGGTCGCTGCACGCGCGCTTCGGCGGCACCGACCTACGCCTCGTCACGAGGGCGCTCGGCGGGCGCCGCTCATTGGCCGAGGTCGTCGCGGCGGCATACAGATGTTTGCCTGCCCTGCGGAGAGACACGGACGTGGAGACGGTCTCGCTGCGTAGCCCACGCCAGCCGTCGCTTGCGCGGGCCTCCGTCGCGCGGGCCTCTGTCGACTCGCTCACCTCACTCGGCGCGATGATGGCGCACCGGCTGATCGAGGCTGCCCCCGCGGCCCTCTCCGTCGAGGCCGCCTCCGGCGAGTGGCTGCTCGCCGACTTGTGCGACGACGGCACGATTCTGCACTTGCCGGTCGATGGCGGCGTGCCGCAGCGATTTCGATCTCCCGGCGGGTTCGTCCGCTTCCTTCGCCCGTGGTTGAGCGCGGCTTCAGTGGAGGGGGGAAGCTGGACGGCGGTGCACTACAAGGGTTTGCCGCTCGACCTGATCCGCAAAGCCGCCACCAGCGATGCAGACGCGTTGGGCGCGGTTGCCGCCGCCTCCGGTTCCCCCTCTGACGGCCGCGAGCCCACGCCACTCTCGCCCGGCGGCGCCGCCGCCAGCCAGCTTCGCCAAGCCTTACACGCCTCCTACCTGTTGGAGCGACGCACCGACGGCGCGCACGAACGATTGCTAGTGGACGACGCGGAGTTGGAGACGTACGAAGTGGATTGCATCCTCGATCGCCGCCGCTCCAAACGCATGGACGGCGGAGCCTACGAGTACTTGGTATCGTGGGCGGGCTACGGCCCGGCGGACAATACGTGGGAGCCGCGCGAATCCCTGCTGTGCCACGAATTGGTGGAGACGTTTGAGCTGGCGTTCGAGGCGCGTCGGCCCGCCGCCTCCCGCAGCCACGCCCGCCCCGCCGGCAACCGCGGTCGCGGTTCCTCGTCGCCGTGCCAGCCGAGGAGGCTTCCGAAAAAGAGGGAGCATGTTGCCAAGCGACGCGCCTCGCCGCCGCAGCCCTCCCGCGTGAGCAAGGCCGCGCGGGTGCCGGCGGTGGCGCCGGTCGTGGACCTCGTGGCGCTCGCAGCCAAGGAGCGGGAGGAGCAGCGCCGCCCTTGCATGTGCAGCGCGCCCTGCCGGCTGCAGCCGCTGATTGAGTCTGGTTGCATCGTGGCCGGCTCCCTCGCGCTCTCCGTGTGCATCAAGGGCGCGCTCACGTCCGCCGATGTGAGCGAGACCGGCGCGATCCGGCTCCCCTCCTCTTCGGGCGGCGGCGAGCTGCTCGAGCTCCAGACTCCATGCGCGCTGCTCCGCGTGGCACGCCGCCGCGCGGGCGTCGCCGTCGACAAGGGGCCGAGCGCCCGGACGACTGTGTTTTACAAGGGCGTCAGCCTCAACGCGCTTGCGCAGCCTGGCCAGGTGCGACGCGACCGCCGCAGCCGCGCGGCGACCTAAATAGGCGTGATCTGCGAACAATTGGTGTGCGGGGTGTTGTGTGCGTCGCCGCCGAGCCGCGTTTCCCTTTGTGCGCAGTGTTGATAGAGATCTGTTGATTGATTGATGGGAAGGCGAAACACAGTCCGACCAACGACTGGGACACCAGCGCGGTATGGGTGGACGCTAGACGGGCGGTGACGGTCACACAGGAGCGACACACAGAACCACAAGACAAGACACTCAGGCTAGCCTCAGCCAACGTGCGGCTGCCACACATCCTGAGCGAACTCCCTAGTCGCCCGCGGCTGGACTCCATCCGGCACGCGTCGCTGGGCGCTCAGAGCCGCGTCCCCTGCTCGCCACCCCGACGCCCAAGGCGCCCGAGTCGAACGACAGGCGGCACGCGAAGACTGGTTGCAATCCCGCCGACCGCGAGGCCGCGGGATGATGTGTGCGTGGTCATGTAGTGGGTCTCGGAAGCTGGTAGAAACTCGATTGCGCGGATTGTGCATTCAGTGTTCGTCCTTACGCTTACCTTCTGCTTTTCTATCACATGATCGATTGCGGATTGGACGATTTGCCTGCAGAGTCCGCGCGCGCTCTTTCTCCCCTTCTCCCCCCACCTCGATAGGAACTAGGAAAAACACTCTGCAGGACGCTTGCGGGGCCACGGGGGGGGTCACTCGATCCACCACGGCAAGTTCCTCGCGCCGATAAGTTTCGCGCCGAGGATGGCAGCGCGTCGCAGTCAGAAGCCACGTGGCGCAGGCAAGGCCGACGGAGGCAGCGGTGACGCAACCTGCAGCTCAGACAGCGAGCCCGCAAAATCGGCGCGCTGCAGCCACAGGTTGTGGGCTGCGATTGTTGCCTACCGAAGGTGCCGTCTGCCGACACAAATTGCCGACGCATACTCCCACACTTTGCTCGCACCAATCAGGCGAACGCGGAGGCTCGTGCGCCCGTGCCTCGTCTTTTGGGCGCTCGCGTCGCTCTGGATATTCGCCGTGCTTCGCATGCAGGGCGTCGCGGCACCAGCGGACCAGCTGTACCTCTCCGCCGGAGGTTCTGCGGCTGGCGGCACGCCCTAGATGCTTTAACCCGTGGCCGTTTGGTGCGCTTGGCGGCAGACTTGGGCGCGTTCCTTCTTACCGAGACTGTGCTCGTGGGTACATGCATCCGCTGCGAATAGGTATCACAAGCTGCTGGACAAGGCCAGCTGCCTCGCGCCGCTGCGGCGGAGCAAAGCGTTTGAGCGCGAGCTTGCGGATGAGTGCGACGTCTCATAGAAGACTCGGAGAGTAACATCTAACATCTAGAAACCGGTGTGCTTGGCACACCGGTATGCTTTCGTTCCAAGTGATGTGAAGCCGCGAAGGGGATACATTTTCTCCGATCCCGTTGAATCCCTTTCCTTCCTCTTTACCTTTGTTTCTCTTGGGGGTGGGCCGGAGTGCGGAGAAATTCACACGCGCGGGGAGGTAAGGTGCCGGGTACTGTTTAGATGTACTCGGGGCGGGGTCTTTACGGGGTAACTATGTGGCTCTTCGAACATACTAGTACCCGATGGTCGACTGCGGACGTTTTTTTTTCGACACGATGCAGGCATGTGGACCAAGCAAGCAAGCCAGCGACACCTCCCTCGGTCGGGGAGGCGCGCACCTGCTGCTTCCACCGATCCTGATTTATCAAACTTGGGAGGAAAGGACTGTTGGTTATCCGCTTGTGTTCGCCCTCCACTATGGATCCCAAGTGTATCAATCAAACTCATTCCAGCGAATGAATGGACCGGGTTCGCTTTTTTGGCATTAGCGGCCCCATCGGCTTCTCGCCTAGCTTCTCGCACCTGGTCGCCGTAGCTATTGCTGGCCGCGATGTACGATGGCGCATCGAGCAGGGCCCTTCCGCCTGTGCTGGGGACTGCGCTGGGAACAGAGCACGCGGAGCTCTTGCCGACATTGCAGTCGCCGCCGATTGGCAACGCGAGAGCATTGCAGGCAGCACCTTGCGGGGTGATCTCAAGAGGCCTGCGCATGTGCTACGACAGACCTACGTCGACACCCGACTACGTCGCAAGCGCGGCTGCCTGCCGCGCCTCGTGCGAGGCGTGGCGGCCCTAGATGCAATGTGTGGGTCTCAGCCACTGTGACTGCTCGGCGGAGGGCGTGAGCATGGTATCCTCGAGTGAATTCCAACGATGCTGATTCAGCCGATATGCCCACTCGTTCACCCTTGGAGTCCAACCTCGCACTCTGCTGGCCCACAGGAGTCAGCCAGCTGCGCCTACCATACGTACTGGCAGCCCAGTGGCTGGTGCCGTCAGGTGACACACACAGAGGACTCGCCGAGAGAATCCGAGATACATCCGCCGTTCCCCGCCAGCCCAACCGCTGCTAGAAGGCTCATCCGGATGCAGACTCGCACACCGGCGCCTCTGACCCGATCGTGCCCCCCCCACCCCAGACGGCGAGCTGCAATATGCTCTGGCCAACGTCGTGCGCCAGCGGCTGCACGATCCAGGTCACCGCTGTCTGCAAAGCAGATGCATCGGTTGCGCTGCTGCCGCCGCCGCCGTCACCACCGCCGCCGCCGCCGCCGCCGCCGCCGCCGCCGCCGCCGCCGCCGCCGCCGCCGCCGCCGCTGCCGCCGCCGCCGCCGCCACCGCCGTCACCACCCGGACATTGCCAAGCATGGTGCTCTAGCAATACCAACAGGCGCGCCGCTTGCTGCGCCTTCAACCCGCCACTCCCAGACCTCACCCTGCACGCTGCGTTAGACCGGGGTCCCTGCAATTGGCGCGATGGAGCCCTAACTCGATGCCCTTCCCCGCCATAGCTGGTCGAAGAAGTGCAACTGGGCCGGATGCCCCGCCTGCAGCGACTGCTCCGCCGTCGCGAGGCAATCAACCGCCACGTGCAAAGCGCACTGCCCCTTCGAGAACTACCCGTGGGCTGTCAAGTTTGTCGCCAGGAGACCCCTACAAGAAAGGTGCCAGTAGATACGTCCACCCCTCCTGATGCGTGTTTCAGGTGTACCTGGGCCGGCTGCAGTGGATGCTCTCCCGAATGCTCGGACTCGAGCTTGGCATCCACCCTGCCGCCTCCGTCACCCTCGCCCTCGGCGACGGGCGGCGCGTGCATGCCGCACTGCCCATTTGAGAAGCACCCATGGACCGTCAAGTGCGGATGGAAGGGCTGTAGTGGATGCGTGCCTGAGTGTGTCGCTCCTCCCTCCCCACCCCCCTCATCCTCACCTGCGCCGCCACCCCCCTCGCCCACACCGCCTCCGTCGGCCTCCCCAACGCCACCACCATCACCCTCGTCGCCACCACCGTCACCCTCGTCGCCACCACCACCGCCCTCGTCACCGCCGCCGTCGCCAGGACCAGCGCCTCCCCCGCCGTCTGCCTCGCCGACTCCACCGTTGCCATCACTACCACCGCCGCCTTCGCCGCCTCTGCCCTCACCGATGCCCTCACCACCACCACCCTCGCCCTCTCCGCCACCACCCTCACCCGTGCCGCCGCCGCCGCCGCTGGCGCCACCACCCTCGGCATTACCTTCACCCCCACCACTGCCCTCGCCGCCTCCGCACACCTCCCCGTCGCCACCGCCCCCATCCGCCTCCCCTTCCCCACCGCCCTCCGCCTCGCCGTTGCCTCCGCCTTCTGCATCCCCGATGCCACCCTCCGCGTCACCGTCTCCACCGCCACCCAGCCCGGCGCCACCGTCTCCATCGCCTCCATCGCCGTCACCGCCCCCACCAACGCCCGCATACCCGGTTCAAATGTCGCCACCTCCATCAACGCCTCCCGTGGTCGTCGCTGACGACGATCTTGTGATGTGCTGCTTTGCCATGATTGCGAGCTGCCTGGCTTGCTCTGCCGGCGTGAGCGTGAGCGAGTACTGTGAGTCGAACCCAAAGGTTGATGGTTGCGAGGAGGCTTCTCCGCCGCCGTCGCCCAACCCGCCGGCATCGATGAGCTGCAGCATTCCCGTCTCCACGCGGCCTCAAGAGTACTGCGCTGATCGGCCTCCGCTATGGCAAGGGGTTAAGCAAGGGGGCACGGCGGCGTGTAAGAAGTACTGCGAGGGCTTTCCCGGCTGCAAGTTCTTTGCGTCGTGGGCGGCAACCAGCTGGTGCTCGATACGCAGCGGACCGGGCGCTGGTGCGGGCTTCCCAGCTCTCTTTCAAAGCACCCTCTGCGAACAGGTGCCGGCTGGTCGCAAGCTGCGACCGGGTGTGGGAGTCGTCGACGGACGACATCGTCGCAATGGGATGCGCGCTGGTCGCGCCTCGAGAGCCTCCGCCGCCCCCGTCGCTGCCACCGCCACCCGCAGACCCACCAGTCGAGTCCCCGTCACAGCCTCCACAACCGCCGCCCGGGCCCCCGCCTTCCCCGATGAACCTCCGCAACATCTTTTGGATCATCGCCGATGACCTCCGACCGCAGCTCGGCGTGTACGGCTCTCCGGAGATCAAGTCGCCCAACATCGACGCGCTGGCGGCCGACAGCACCCTCTTCGAGCGAGCGTACTGCCAGGTGCAGCCGCCCTCGATAGAGAAATGTGGCCCGTTGTGGACGCGGTTCATTGACCTCTGCTTGCACATGACGTGTGGAGTGGCAGGGCGCTTCCGTGGCTTTTGGTGAGGAGACCTCTACCTTTCGCCAACCATAGGTGCCCACTTGCGGTGCCTCGCGCGCGAGCATGTTGACTGGGCTGTATGCATCGCCGACCCGCTTCATCAACTTCAACACTCGCGCGGACCAGGACGCGGCCAACGTGCCAGATGTGGCGAAAACATTTCGGATGGCCGGGTGCAGCGCGTGGCGACAGGGTCACAGCATGGGCGAGACGTGATTGCCGCGACTCTGCGATAGGTACAAGGCCATCTCCAACGGCAAGATCTACCACCACAGTGGCGACAACAAGGAGTCGTGGGACGAGGTCTGCGGTCACGACGCTGGCAGCATCGACGGACTGCCTTGTAACTACACCGCACGGCCAGGCTCGATGTGCTGGTGTGAGCTTCAGTCTGAGACAGCCATTGCCAAAAGCCGTTCCCTACGGCCCTCTTGCACCCCACTGTATCGTCTCCCTTCGAGTCCGCCCATTTCCTCCGGCCCTGGATTCAATTAACCCCCCCCCCTTTTCAACCAAGGCCCCCCCCCCCCCCCCTTTCCCCAACAGCATCTGGCCACAGAGAGGCCAAACCCGCAAGGGGCTCGCCAAGGCTACGGTCTGCCCTGCATTCGTGTCGGGTGGATTGATATGTAGCACCTGTTCACAGCGAACACTGTAAGTAGGCCAACTCGGATGGATCGTTGGAGAACGAGCGGGAGAGTGGCAAGCAACTTCGGGCATACGTCAAGACACTGCAGGGCAGCGCACGCTTTCAGGCATGCCTCTGGTGCGAATCTCGCCGACATCTCGACAATCTCGGTTCAGCGTCAGCTTTGATCGTATCAGGCGAACGGACAGGGCCAGTGCTTTGGGTGTGGCTGGCCCGCATGGAGTGGGACCGACGTGCACGACGACGGCCTTGTCGAGCGCGGCTACCCCGACGGCAAGATGGTTGTCAAGATCTTCAACGACCTCCGGGTCGCAAAAGTGGAGGCAAAGCCCTTCTTCATCACGTGCGGCTTCGTGCGGCCGCACCTTCCCTTTGTTGCGCCGCTAAGGGATTGGGAGGCGTACGAGAGGGCCGATGTTCAAGTGCCGCCGTGGGGCAACAACCGCATCGCCGAGGGGGCGCCCCCACGGGCACTGCACTACCGCGAGCTCGGCGTCTACGACGTTGGCACGAACCCCGTGACGGACAACTCAGGAGGGTACCTCATGCCCGAGTACGGGCTGGGCAATCCGCTCTCGGAGGAGATCTCGCGCTCGCTTGTGCATGGCTACTACGCGACGGTAACCTACGTTGACCGGCTCGTTGGGCACGTCATTGGCGAACTCAAGTCACTCGAAATGTACGACGAGACGATCATCGTCTTCAACAGTGACCACGGCTATCAGCTGGGCGAGCACGGCACGTGGTGCAAACACTCACTTTTCGAGACGTCGCTGCGCATCCCGCTCTTCATCAAGGCGCCGGGCATCGCCCCGTCGCGCGTGCCGGCGCTCGTGGAAAATGTCGACATATACCCCACCCTGCTCGACCTCGTCGGGATCGCAGCGCCACCGCACCTCCACGGCAAGAGTCTCGTTCCAGTCATGCGCGATCCCAGCGCACCCCACAAGGGCCCCGTCTTTGCCCGCTACCGCGACGGCGACTCGGTGCGCTTTCCGGACCTCGCGTACAGCGAGTATTGCCTGCGGAACTGTTGGTCTCCCGAGACCTGCTCTCAATACTGCGCGACTCCGCACCCCACCGACCGCATGCTCTACGACCATACAATCGACCCCAACGAGGACCTCAACCGATGGAACACAGGGTGGAACCGATCGCAATACGCCGGGCAGATCCACGAGATGCGTGCCGCGCTCGACAGGCACCGGCGCGAGAGGGATCGCGCATAGCGCTTCGATCGGCGGCCGCTAGGAGAGAATATCTGGCCGAGAAGTCGTGCTTGGAGCTGTCAGTTTTCTTGTGGGGTGGGCAGGAACTCAAACTCTTGCGGGAGGCGGGGCGGGGAGGGGGGGGGGGTGCGCTTTGCGGATTGGTAGAGCTCAATCTTTTCAAGGAGGGGGCCGCCCCGAGCTTGAAGGCGCGAGACGCCCCCCCCTCGCCACTCGCCCCTCCCCCGCCCAATGCTCATAGCTCCTCCCCTCGCGTGCAGACGCTCGTCGTGGGCAACAAGGAGCAGCCTGAGCTGATGCCCGTGTGCGAGGAGCGCGGCATCAAGCTGTGCTGAGCCTCTCCAGCCGCGAGCGGCAACCAAGACCCTCGACGGGCGGCCCGCGGCAGAGTCCAGAGAGAGCTGGGGCCAGCGCGCGCAGCGGTCTCTATGGGGCTTATGCACATGCACATATACCGCTGAAGTGTTCGTCTCTGAGACCGAGAGAGGCTGATTCCGCTGGGAGTGCGTAATTTCTTTCGGTTGCCTCGATTTTAAAGCCCGCCCCGCGTGCTCGATGCGCGTGAAGCCGTACACATGAGAGAGAGAGAGCGCGCGTAGGGCCCTTAATTAGGGGCCTAGAGAACACAAGTCACAACCCCCTCTCCCTTTTCTCCCAGTGTAAGCCGCAAAGCGTAAAGCTAAAGGTACCCGCCCCTGGGGGGCCCATTCTTCATACCCATGGGGGATTTTCCCCCAAACGGGACAGTACATGCCCCCCTGATGGGCATGGCATTTCCAGCAAGCCCCCCCCCCCCCCCCCCCAGCGTATGGGGCCATATCTTGAGAGATCCCCGCTGCGCTGCGCTCTCCTGGAGCGGACTGCCGACGCGACTAGCCTGCTCAACGCCTTCAGATGTCGCCGACAAACTCGGCGCCCTCCTTGGAGCGCTGCAGCCACTTTGCACAGTTGAGCGCCGTCGGCACGACGATGACGGCGCCCGCGGCGGCGCCGAGCAGTTCGTCGGAGACCTGGACGCCCGCGACGAGCGCGGGCAGGTACTTCGCGGCGTAGGCGAGGCCGCCCGAGAGCGCGAGCAGCTTTGCGAGGAAGGCGGCGTTGCCGTCCGCCGCCCACGCCTCGCCCAAGTCCTCCCACCCGACCAGTGCGGCGGCCTGCGACGGCGGCGGCGCAGCGGAAGCGGAAGCGGCGGCGGAAGCGGCGGCGGAAGCGGCGGCGGAAGCGGCGGCGGAAGCGGCGGCGGAAGCGGCGGCGGCAGAGGAGGCGGCGGACTCATCGGACGCTGGTGCAGACGCGGCGCCACCTTCTGATGGCGACTCGCCCCGGGCGGATGCTAGGAGGGCCGCCCAGGCGGCAGCTGCCTCGTCTGCGCCCGCCTGCCATGTCCAGCCACTGGCGAGTGCGAGGCGGAGGCAGGCGAGCGCCAGCGTGGTGTTGCCGACACACGTCATCGCCGCCTGCAGGAGATATGGGGAGATAAAGGGAGATGGGGGGAGAAAGGGGGAGAAAGGGGGAGATATGGGGAGATATGGGGAGATGCGGTATCGCCGCCTGCAGCGTGACGCACCACGCGATGGCGGGCGCCTGCAGGAGATATGGGGAGATATGGGGAGAGGTGGGGAGATGTGGGGAGAGATGGGGAGACGGCGGGCGCGTTGTAGAAGAGGTGGTACGTGCACGCGACAATCCCCGACGTGTGGAGCGGCAGCATGCCCCAGGTGACGCCTTTATTAATTAACGAGCGTTAATAATTACCATTGCATTAATTAACGAGGCGCAGCATGCCCCACGTGACGCCTCTCCACCTGGGTTGTGCCACCGCGTCGGCGTACCGCCAGGCGAGCCCCATCGCCACAAGCCACTCCACCAGCGACGAGGTGTGAATGACCCACGTGGGCATCGACAGCGCGTTGGACGGCTCCGCGGGCCAAAGCCCGGCGGGCGCGTTGCCGATCCCGCCCAGCCAAGGCGTGTGCACCGAAGCCCCGCCGGAGGCAAAGACCGCCACCGCCGACAGCGCCGAGAGGGAACCGAGCGCGGTGGCGGCAGCGCGGAGCGACGCTTCGTCCGCCGCCGGAGCGCGCACGCCCTTCTCCTCCACGTCGATCGCGTCCCGAAACCCGAAGACGACGACGCAGTTGGTGATGGCGAGCAACGACTCGGCCGATCCATGCAGCCAATCGGCGTCGGCGAGGCTGACGCCGAAGAGGGCACCAGCGCCAATCGCCGCCGGGATGGAGCCGAAGACGAAGGCCAGCAGGAAGGTGAGGCCAAATGTCACTCCCGGAGGCGCGCCAACCGTCGGGTGCTTTAGCCAGTACAGCATCGCCAGCCACGGAAAGAGCGAGGCGCCAAACAGAGATCCGGCAAGCTCGTCAGCGGTCGAGGAGAGGGCTCCGCCGCCGTCGGCTAGCAGGAGGAGCTCTGGCGCGGCCAGCGTCACAGGGCCGGCACGCAACGGTGAGGTACTTGCCGGGCCAAGCCGAGGGAGCAACGGAGTGAGCATGTGCTGCCGATGTGATGTCTCGAGGTCTCGGGATATCGGCTGGGAAAAAAGAAAAAGCGATGTTGTCCGTTTTCCTTCCTTCTTTTTCGAGGTTCTCGAGGTGGATATCCTTTGGCCGCGTTGGGTAGCGAGGATTGGTGTGAGGCTGACTAGCTTTTGGTTGAAATAAAATGTCTGCGCTCCCGTAGTTCGCACTCGTTCCTCTGCGAGTCAACGCACAACGGACCGCAAGGCGCGAGACACACACAACACCCGTACTCTCCCGCACCATCTCCGTCGCTCGGTTGCTCAGCCATACCACCTCAGGGAGGCGGCCAGGGCTCTACATAGACTCGCTCGGTCGAAAGAGCCCCAGACAGATTGGCACCCATGCCTCTCTCTACATGTACATCTTTGTTTGATAGGCAGGCGAAACACAGTCCGACCAACGACTGGGACACCACCGCGGTATGGGTGGACGCGGGACGGGCGGTGACGGTCACACAGGTGCGACACACAGAACCACAAGACAAGACACTCAGCCAACGTTGCTGCCACACCCATCCTGAGCGGACTCCCTAGTCACCCGCGGCCGGACTCCATCCGACACGCGTTGCTGGGCGCTCAGAGCCGCGTCCCCTGGCTCGCCACCCCGACGCTCAAGGCGCCCGAGTCGAACGACAGGCGGCACGCGAAGACTGGTTGCAATCCCGCCGACCGCCAGGCCGCGAGGGGGGGGTCAAGTATGGTACCCTAGACCGGCCTGAACGAGGCGCAATTCGATGATATGCGGGACGTTTACGGGATTCAGCTCGCCCACGAGGACAAGTGTGCCATTCTTTTGGATCGGGCAGACCGCTTCGAGGCACTTGAGCACTTGAGCACTGGATAGGGTCGATTCCGCATGGTACGGGACCCCGTATTACAGGCGTAAGGCGGAGCTCCTCCAGATCTACCGCGACTGGGACAGTGCCGAGGTGGCACACACAGCACAACCGCATCCTCGATGAGTTTCAGCGACGCTCCGGTACCCTGGATGGTCGTGGGTATTATAGTGACCCATCATATGTGTATTATAGTGACCCATCTATGTGATACCAAAACAGGGCCGCGGGGGGCGTTGCTGGGGGGCCGCTAGAGAGGTGTCCGTTTTTATTTATTTATTTATTTTGGGGCCGCTGGAGGGCCGCTAGAAGGTTGCGGCGACGGCGGCGGCGGCTACGGCGGCGACGCCAACACAAAACCCCGGCGGCACCTCCGCCGCCGTCTCCGGCGACGTCGGCCGAGGCGGCGGCGGCAGGAGCCGCTTGTCGGGAGACCTCTGGTCGGCGGCCGCGGGCGCGGGGGGCGTCTGTGCTTTGCCGGCTTGTTGCGCGGCGGCCGCCCGGCGGCGGGCGGCGGCGGCGGCGGCGGCGGCGGCGGCGGCGGATCGTTGCCGACGTGTCGCATCTTTGCCGGCAGAGGCGCGGGCGGCTGCACTGTGGGGGGGGTACCGAGCAGTGCACGGCCGCTCCCCTGCTGTGATACACGAGACCCAGGTCCACGCACCCTCCATTTGCATAACCCGCGCCCCAAAACATCAAGACATGCCAGCCCCCTGCTCTCCACGGTGGTCATTGACACACACGTCACATGGTCACCCCCGCCCTAGCGATATGTCCACCGGGCGCCGCTCCAACAGCACATCGAGCCGCCCGCCGCCCGCCCCGCCAGTGCTCGCGCTCACCTCGCAGACGCGCGCGGCGACCCTCCGCCCTCGCTGCCCTCCCGCTGCGAGTCCTGCAGCAGCGCCGTCCCCTGAGGAAAGGAAGGCACGGTGAGGCAAGGTGAGGGAAGGGAAGGTGAGGCAAGGCAAGGGAAGCTTCTCCACACACACGAGGTGGTGGGGCAAGCGCGGCATTGGAAGTGCAAGGCCCGGTGCGCGTGGGTGGGCGGTGTGAGCGGTGTGAGCGGTGTGCGAGTGAGTGATTGTCTCTGCGTCTGTGTGCTGTGTGCCTCGCCGCCCTCCTCGTCCTCCTCCGATGGAACCTCGGTGTACGAAGGGCCAAACAGCGGCAGCCGAGACCACTGGCAGAGCAGCGCCTAAAAACGAGTCAACGCGGCCTTACGGGACATGGATCAGCGGCAGCCGAGACCACTCGCAGAGCAGCGCCGCGCACGCGCAGTCGACGGCCGCGCCGCACGCGCCACGCCGCCGCACCTAGTTAAATTTAATCCGCGATTCGCCGCGCCGAACTCTGAACTGGCCGCACGCGCCGCGCCGCCGCCGCACCCACGCCGAAGTCTCGTCGACGACGAGGCAGAGGCAGACGGCGGAGACGATCGCGAGGCAGCCGCCTGATATGGGGAGATGTGGGGAGATGCGGGGAGATGCGGGGAGGTATGGGGAGGTATGGGGAGAGATGAGCTGGCCGCTCTCTGGGGATTCGGCATCTGGAGACGTGGGGAGATATGGGGAGGTATGGGGAGGTATGGGGAGATGTGGGGAGGTATGGGGAGATATGGGGAGGTATGGGGAGGTATGGGGAGATGTGGGGAGGTATGGGGAGATATGGGGAGGTATGGGGAGATATGGGGAGATGTGGGGAGACGTGGGGAGATATGGGGAGGTATGGGGAGGGATGCAGATTCGTCATCTACACAAGCGCCGGTGGAGACCATCAACGTCTCCATCCCCGCCTCCTCGAGCAGCCACCCGCCAACCACAGGCCCAAAGACCTACACGTATGAGTCGCTCCTCGCTGGAACCAGCTATGAATCAGCGGCCAGCCGCCCGCCGCCGGCCCGAAGACCTGCCCGAACCGGTCGATGGAGCCGGCCAGGCCCTGCATCACCCCTTGCTCCACCGGCACGTGCCTGCGGGAGGTTGCGGGAGATTGCGGGAGATTGCGGGAGGTTGCGGGAGGTTGCGGGAGGTTGCGGGAGGTTGCGGGAGATTGCGGGAGGTTGCGGGAGGTTGCGGGAGGTTGCGGGAGGTTGCGGGAGGTTGCGGGAGATTGCGGGAGATGTGGCCGGGGGGTTTTGTATTTGCCTCCGCCCACTAGCTCCCGGCTGTCTCTCGGCGGCATCTCGGCGGCATCTGGAGCATCTCGGCTGCATCTCAGCTGCATCTCGGCTGCCTCCCGGCTGCCTCTCGGCTGCCTCCCAGCTGCTTCCCGGCTGTGTCTCTCGGCTGCCTCTCGGCTGCATCTCGGCTGCATCTCGTCTGCCTCTCGGCTGCCTCTCGTCTGCATCTCGGCTGCATCTCGGCTGCATCTCGGCTGCATCTCGGCTGCATCTCGGCTGCATCTCGTCTGCATCTCGGCTGCATCTCACGAGAAGAGCGTCGAGATGCACGGCACGGCCAGCCCGTACCCCAGCGAGATGAGTCCGAGGCAGGGGACGAGGGAGGCGACCTAATTAATTAACTAGGCGCCCCCTCTTAATTCATTAGATGAGTCCGAGGCAGGGGACGAGGGAGGCGACCTAATTAATTAATTCGGCGCCCCCTCTTAATTCATTAGATGAGTCCGAGGCAGGGGACGAGGGAGGCGACCTAATTAATTAATTAGGCGCCCCCTCTTAATTCATTAGATGAGTCCGAGGCAGGGGACGAGGGAGGCGACCTAATTAATTAACTAGGCGCCCCCTCTTAATTCATTAGATGAGTCCGAGGCAGGGGACGAGGGATGCGACCTAATTAATTAATTAGGCGCCCCCTCTTAATTCATTAGATGAGTCCGAGGCAGGGGACGAGGGATGCGACCTAATGAATTAATTAGGCGCCCCCTCTTAATTCATTAGATGAGTCCGAGGCAGGGGACGAGGGAGGCGACCTAATCAATTAATTCGGCGCCCCCTCTTAATTCATTAGTTTGGCTGAGGCAGGGGACGAGGGATGCGACCGAGGCGACGGCCGCAAGGCCCGCGTAGCCGAGCGATGTGCATGCCATGGCCAGCACGAGCGTGCGCTGCTCGCCCAGGGACCCGTTGATGACGCGCACGAGCACGCCCTGCACGAACATGCCTCCCACGCCCATCGCAGAGACGGCGAACCCAACCTGAGAGAGGGGTGTGTGGGGGGAGAGACGGGAGATATGGAGAGACGTGGCTCCCACGCCCCATCGCAGAGACGGCGAACCCAACCTGAGAGAGGGGTGTGTGGGGGGAGAGAGACGGGAGAGATGGAGAGACATGGCTCCCACGCCCCATCGCAGAGACCGGCGAACCCAACCTGAGCGACGCGGGCGCCCCAACTGATTCATCCTTCACCCCCCCCACCCCACCCACCCACACCCACACCTCGCAAAGACCATCTAGGCCTCGAGATAGGGGGAGATAGGGGGAGATAGGGGGAGATAGGGGGGAGATAGGGGGAGATAGGGGGAGATAGGGGGAGATAGGGGGGAGATGGGGGGAGATGGGGGGAGAGAGGGGGAGAGAGGGGGAGATAGGGGGAGAGAGGGGCACCTCCTTTGGCCCAAAGTCGAGCGCCTCCTCGCACAGGTACGGGAAGTTGGACCTAAAAAGAAGTCTACGATGCCGACACAATTCTTTTCTAGGTAAAGCACAGGTACGGGAAGTTGGACTTGTACGCCGCGAAGGCGAAGCGGAAGAAGAAGTTGAGCGCGAGCAGCGGCACCACGTTGAACTTTGCGAGGTAGCTTAGCCTGCGCGCTGAACACGCCGACATGAGGGCGGGAAGACTTCTCGTCTACCTTGCCCAGAGCGCGCACACTAGCGCCCGCGCGCTGAGTACGCCGACATGAGGGCGGGAAAACGGTACTTGTGCAGCGTCTTCAGAGCACCGCGTGAATACGGGGGGGGGGGGGGGGGGCGACTACAGTTGAATACGGCTGAATACGGCCGAGTACGGCGGAGTGCGTGTCCTCTCGAGCGCTGGTTGGAGCACAAGAACACGTCTTCCGCTTCTAGGTGGTACGCGCAGCAGCCACAGGCTGCGCGCGCCGCGGCCACACGGCCCGCAGTTCTCGAGCACCGACGAGCCTTCGTCAAGCAGACACCCGGGGTCGGGGCGGGAGATGCCATCTCGCGCTGTGTGCTCAGATCTCCCCACACCTCCCCCCATCTCCCCCCATCTCCCCAGATCTCCCCCGATCTGGCGCAGCGTGCTCGCAGCACCGTGTGGAGACGAGGGGTGGGAGGACGGTGAGTACACTCTTGAGTACGGCCGAGTAGCGGCGGAGTGCGCGTGCCCTCTGGAGCGCTGGTTGGGAGACATGAATGCGTGCTCCGCCGCGAGATATGGGGAGATACGGGGAGACCTGGGGAGATATGTTTCGCTTCTAGGCCGACGATCCTCCGCCGGACGCGAGATATGGGGAGATATGGGGAGATATGGCGAGATCTGGCGAGATATGGGGAGATCTGGGGAGATATGGGGAGATCTAGGGCCGACGATCCTCCGCCGGACGCGACCTCGACGCGAACGTACTTGACGCCGTGGTCGTACTTGTGGCCGCCGGGTCGATGCGCAACGCCAGTGCCTCCTCCTCCTCCACCACCACCACCACCGCCGCCGCCGCCGCCACCACCGCCGCCGCCGCCGCCGCCGCCGCCGCCGCCGCTGCCTCCGCCACCTTTGCCGCCTCCGCCGCCGCCGCTTCCGCCCTCGCCCGTCGACCGCTCCATCTGCACTGGGGGCGTGGGGCTGGCTGCCGAGGGCTGCCTGGAGAGGTTTGCGGAAGACGACTGCCGCGAGAGGCGAGAGTCGATCAGCCTGTTCACAGCGGGAGGTGTGAAGAGCCGCCGTTCACACCTCACCACCGAGTCGGAGCTGCCGAGGCACTTCTCGTCCGGCTGCCAGAGCGCGCACACTAGAGCCCCGGAGATGAAGATTGCGCAAGCGACCAGCGCGCACACGCGCTTGCCGCCGAGCGCCGTCGCGCCTAGCGGCCGGGGGAGGGGTAGCTGACCTTTGGCCGTCGCGAGGCACCAGCGGCCTGCTCTTTTCACGCGCATCTACGCTCTTGGCGCTGCGCTACGCGTGTTGCGTGCGCAGCGGTGCGGCAGTCAGTCTTGGCTGCAGCGCAGCGGACCTCGGCTGCATCCCGCGCCTTGCAGCAGCGCCGGCGCAAACTCCGAGACATCTCCCCATATCTCCCCATCTCTCCCCATATCCCGCGCCTTGCAGCAGCGCCGGCGCAAACTCCGAGACGGCGCCGCCAATGAGAGGGCCGAGGATGAGAGCGCCTGCGGGCGTGGCGTCAGGGTTAGGGCTGGGGTTAGGGTTAGGGTCAGGGTTAGGGTTAGGGTTAGGGTTAGGGTCAGGATTAGGGGTAGGCTTAGGGTTGGGCTTAGGGTCAGGGTCAGGGTCAGGGCCAGGGTAGGGTCTGGGAAGGGTTAGGGATAGGGTAGGGTCTGGGATAGGGTTAGGGTTAGGGTAGGGTCAGGGTCAGGGTCAGGGTAGGGTCTGGGATAGGGTTAGGGATAGAGCGCCGTTGAGGGTGACACCCATCAGCCCAAAGGTGCCTAAGGCGGACGCGCACGGGCATGCGTCAGCCTCAGCGCGTCGGTGAGGCGACCATCATGCGGCAGCTTGCTGCCCGTCCGCTTGTCCTTACTGGTAGTGTCAGCAAAGTACGCGCGGAACAGGGCGATCTGGAAGCCGGATCCGGTGATGACGCGCGCGGCGAGCATCATCGGGTAGGAGGAGGAGAGGCCGAGCAGCAGGCAGCCCGCTGCAGACACCAGCAGCGACACGAAGATGACGTTCCGCCGGCCGAGCGAGTCGGAGAGCGCGCCGAGCAGCGGCGAGAGGATCGTCTGGCTCATCCAGGTGGCGGACTGGAGGACGCCGTAGGCGGAGCGGGAGTAGCCCATCTCGCGCACTAGGAAGGGAAGCACCGGCACCAGCACCGTCTGGCCCAGCTGCGCCAGCAGGATGATCATGTACGGCCCGCACATGAACGTCGCCGGCCCGCAGGCGCCGGGGTGCCAGCCCTTGGCGATGCCCATCGGCAGGTGGATGGTGACGGGCACCCATATCTCCTCGGCGCCGCCGCCGGCCGCCATCGCCGCAGGTGGTTCAGCCGACTCGGAGAAACAGCCTCTCGCGGCGTCTCCTTGGTCTGCCCTCGGCGTGCACGCGTCGAAGGAAGAAAAACCGGAAAGCCCACAACCGGAGTTGCGCCGAGAGGCGAAAGAAGCCGCGAGAACAAGGGACCGGCAGGCGGCGGCGTCGCAGGACGAGGCAGAAGAGAACGACGCGACAGAGGAGGAAGTGACAAGGGAGAGAACGACGAGAGTGGGACGGCCGCGAGGTGGCATGAAGGTTGCAGCGAGAAGCGGCGAGAGACTGCGAAAAGAGATACGAAGAGGCAGACTCCCCAGGGTGGGCGACGGCTAGCGCATCACACTCTCCTCTCCTTAAAATCCCTGTGTGGTGGCGGCGTGCCGTTCTCCCATCCCTCCCTTGGGTTGTGTGTTTTCTTTCTTTCTTTTCCCACAACCGGGCCCTTCCTTTTTTTGAGCAGGTGTGCCGCCGCGCGAGCGACGCTCCGAGATCGCCCGAGATAGCGCGGCGCGGCCCCGAGATCGCCCGAGATAGCGCGAGATCGCCCGAGATCGCGCGGCGCGGCCCGAGGAAAGGTGGATGGGCTGGGAGCGAGGGGGCGGAAGTGTGCAGTGCGGTAGATGGTCAGTCGAGGCGCGTGAGCCGGACTTGTGGGCCGGACGGCTTTCATTTCTCTCTGCGTTGTTGAGCCAGGACTCAACATACTCGTTCTGTCGCCGTCCCAAATTGTCACTCCCCTTTCTCCCTGGACCGACGAGCTCAACGAGTTCACGACGGGCCCAAACATGATCACCGGCACGTGCGGCGACCGCGGCCAGTTCTTTCTCGGCACCGGAGAGCACAAGAAATGCGAGGAGTTCGAGGTTGCGGTCCGCTTCTCGAGCGCAAAGATCAGGGTCCCAGGCTGGACGATCAAGGTGGCCGCCGCGCCAGTCTGGGGTCGCATCAGTGGCCCGCGTCACCGGCTCGACGTGTCGCTGCACGCGCACGGGGACGAGGCGGCGCTGCCCCAGACCCACGGCTTGATCGGACAGTCGTTCGGCTGGCGGGCGGCGCGCGACGGCAAACGCGACCTCTACCCGACGGAAGGGCGCTTCCGCACGTCGGCGATGGCGGAGGGTGCCATCGAGGGCAACGCGGCGATGTACGAGCTGCCCGGTCCGCTGGCGACCGAGTTTCCCTTCTCGCGCTTTCGCGAGGCAAGGCAAGTGGCGATGCTGTCCTTCCCGCCCAGCGACGCAACGCTGGACGCCTCGTCAACGGACCTGGTCGCCGGGGCGGCGAACGCACCTCGCGCCGAGCGCAGGCTCGCCGAGGAGGGGGATTTGTGCGCGCCGCCGTCGGCTCCCCCCCAACCGACTTCGTTCCAATCGGAGTGCAACTGTGACTTTTACAGTGCCGAGCAGTGCAGCTCCCTCCTCTCGGGGCACGGGCACGGGAGGATGGAGTGCATCGCTCTCTGCTGCACGCCTCCGCCTGCCCCGCCGACGCCACTGCCGCCGCCGCCCGCGCCTTCGCCACCCTCGCCGCCGCCGCCGTCCGCCTCGCCCTCGCCGCCGCCGCCGTCCGCCTCGCCCTCGCCGCCGCCGCCGTCCGCCTCGCCCTCGCCGCCGCCGCCGTCCGCCTCGCCCTCGCCGCCGCCGCCGTCCGCCTCGCCCTCGCCGCCGCCGCCGTCCGTCTCGCTGCCGCCGCCGTCGCCCTCGCCGCCGCCGCCGTCGGCCTGCGCAGAAATGACGTGCACCAGACCTCCATTCCAGAACGTACAGAATTGCGCAGGTCTGATCGACTTTTTAAGTACAAGCCCCACTTGTGGCTACAATCAGGTCGATCCCTGGGAGATGCATCGTGCAATGTGCATATGCCTAGGGCAGTTTGAACCGAATTCTTGCACTCCCGCTAAGCCCCAGGGCTGCCAGGAGTGCCTCGGCTGCGTTTATCCACCCCCGCCGCGCCGCAAGCCACCGCCACCGCCGCCGCCGCCGCCGCCGGTGACGGCGGCGGCGGCGCCGCCGCCCCCTCCGCCGCCGCCGCCGCCGCCGTCACCGCCGCCGCCGCCGCCGCCGCAACCGCCGCCGCCGCCGCCAGGCCTTTACGCAATTGGCGGCTGGCTGCAAATTTCTGTGCCCAGAAATTTAGCCACGAAAATGACATACTTCTCGAGGAATGGCGGCGTTGATTGGAAACGGCTGCCCGAGATGGCAACAGCTCGGATGATGTTCGCGATGGCGGTGGACAATGACAATAAGAAGATTTACGTCGCCGGCGGCACCGATGGCGGAGGCGGCGCGCTGCCTGGCGCCGAGGCGCCACCCGCAGCCTCATGCCCCTCTCGCCCGCCCCCCCTCTTCTCAAGCTATCGGCACCCCCGTGCCGGTAGGGTGTGACACGACCCTCCACTCATTCCACTCTGCTGACTCAGGCCACACCCTCGGCAGGTACTCGACACTGCCACCAACACTTGGTCAAGGCTTCCGAACTTGCCTCAGGACTCGCAAACCACACACGGGTACATCTGGGCCTACGCTGGTGCGTTCGAAAGCAACACCTTCTGGGAACACTCAGAAACAAAATCAACGAAACTTCAAAGCGCTTTCGTACCGCCCAGGCGATACCGAGTGGAGCACCGAGAGTGGCATCGAAAACTACGTGAGAAGCGAAGTGGGGCAGGGGCCGCATTACAGCTGCGGCAACGCTGTGGGGCACAACGGGAAGATCTATTTGCTTGGCTGGGACAGCAGTACGCCGGAGATTATTATCTACGATGTTGACAGCAAGCAAATGTCGCTCGGACCTAAGGATCCGGAGGGCCCACGCAAATCTTTTGCAATGGGCATTTTCGACGGTGCCATCTTCATCGCGGGTGGGTCAACGTACGTCGGGGGGAACCCTTCTAACCAGTTCATTTCGTCTGTCTATCGCCTGGAGGTTGGAGGCGACGAGTGGCAGCGGATGGCTCCCATGCCAGGCACCACCGCCCATGGGGGCTACTATGGGGCTGCGGAGGCGAGTGCTGAGGTAGAGGGCAAATGGTGGGTTCGATTTAGAGACGACCAGCAGAATGTTCTTGGGAAGGTCTGGGTTTACGATGGCAGATGGAAAATTGGTGGCAACTACCCTGGAAAAGTAGGAGATCACTATAGCGACGACTATGGCACCAATGGCGAATGGAACTGCGTACAGTTTGCGACGGTGTGAGTGCCTGAAACGAACGAATTTGAAAAACGTGTGTGACGTGGTGCGGAGCGCGGCAGCGCGCCCACATGCGCACCCGTTGCCGTGTGCCCGTCGGTCCCGATGCGCATCTTTCTTGACGTGTGAGTGTTCGTTGCTTGTTGTGAGCGTGCAGACCCCCTACCCACATACATGGTGCCGTGCTCTAAGCCGGTTGTGCGCGCAGGGCAGTGTTGAACTGCTGCGTATACCAGCCCCACAAAAGGTCCGAACCCAGTCGCGTAAGCTCACTACAGGACAGTCAGTTCAGAGACGGCCTCCCGCCGTGGGTCTTTAAAAACTCCGGCCCTCAGAACCCTAGGGGTACCCTCTAAGTCCACATACTGGGGAGTGATCCCACGCCCCGCAGAGCGGCGTCGCGGCGTGTGTGGGGGGCGCGCTCATCTGAAGGGGGGGGGGGGGGGATTGTGGCGTACGGCTAAAAAAATGCTATGGCCTATGGCTCAGATTTGGTTTCAGGACCACAAAAATCAAAACGGAGAACGGGTCTGGCCACGCAGCCTTCGCTGTGGGGTCATCGTAAAGGTAGCTCATGAGGTAGGTTACGACGATGCGGACGAGAGACGTGCGGCCCGCAACACACACGAGCGCGCAAGCCTGCGCTGGCTCCAGAGAAGGGAAGCTCCATATCTGGTGCTCCGGCCGGGCACTAGGGCCACGCCGCCTAGTCAACATGCGAGAGGGCGCGCCCGCTCTCCCGGCGCGGGGGTCACGTTTCTGCCGCCTGCGCGGGCTCGTCACAACCGCTGACTGCTCGCGCGCAGGCTCGACTTTTGCGGCGCGCCATCCATGTCGACAACCATAGTGCCGTCCATGTCCATGTCCTGCACCGACGCACCGCGCCCGTGGCCGGCGCCGCAGCAGGCGACGGAGCGGCAGAAGGTCGGGCAGCCCGGCTGCTTGCCGACGCCGCCGTGCACGATCTGGACGGCGATGGCGCTGGGCATGTACAGGAAGAGGAGCGCCGCGCAGAGGAGGAAGCCAAAGCCGCCCGCGACATAGAGCGTCGCCGAGAGGCTCTCGAGCGAGTCAAGGGCGGCGTCGACGTCAGCGCTCACCCACGCGCAGTCGGAGAGGAGCAGCGCGTCGTCGACGGCGCCGTCGAGCGCGGCGACCAGCGAGCCGGTGAGGGCCCTGAGGTTGGAGCTGGCTGCGTTGAAGGTCTCGGTGAGGATGGCAACCTCGCTCGACACGACCGCGGCATCGGTCTGGAGGTCGTCGATGGTGGCTCTGACTTCGTCGCACATCTGCTTCGCCGTCTTGCCGTATGCGGGTATGACGTTGTCGGTGTATACGGAGTCGCAGGTCGGCCGGGGATCCACCCCGTTGCACAAGATGCCATTGCACGGCTTGCAGCCGCCACACCAACATTCGTCGGCACCACCGCAGGTGTTGTCATCGGCGCAGTAGTCGTTGCCGCTCTGGCCCTCGGCGGGGCAGGGCAGCCCAAAGTCGGCGGGCTCCTTGCCGGCGAGATAGTCCCCAAACTCGTCGACAACGCTCGCCTCAGAGATGTTGAAGCCCTGCGTCACGTCCACCTCGCCGAGCGTCTCGTTGAGCGCGGTGATGTTGGCGCGGATCGTCGCCACGCTAAAGGGCAAGCCAAAGGTGGATAGCAGCACATCGAGCAGGCTGCCCGCGTCTGACGACCAGCACGTCTCGAGCACGGCGTCGGCCAGCCAGCACGAGGCGTCGGCCGAAGCCGTCGTCGGCTCGGACAGTCGGCGGCTGGCCGGCGGCAGCAGGTCATTCGCGAGCGAGCCGAGGGTGGCGAGGTCGAGCCCCTCTGGAAGCTGGATGGTGGGCGGCGCGCTGCCGAGCACGCCGCACACGCTCGTGCCGTTGAAGGTGGAGGCGAAGTCGGTGGGGCCGTCCGCCGTGAGACCGCGCACGACCACGAGCGCGTCGTTTGTGGCGGTGGTTGCGGCGATCAGCAGCGCGCCGGCGATGAAGAGGGCGAAGGCGACGATGCCGGCGCAGACCCACGAGAGGCCGAGGAGCTGGACGCCGCAGCCTGCGCAGCAGCAGCGGCGCTTGTCCTTGGTGAAGGCGGCGGCGGGCGCGGCGACCAGCAGGGAGAGCGTGACGAGGACGAGCGGGAGGATGAAGAGGGCGAGGCCGACAAGGAAGGAGGCGAGATTGAGCGAGAGGTCGGACAGCCCTGCGGGCAAGTCGCTCGGCGGCGGAGGGCCGTCCGGCGTCGGCCAGGCGAGGTTGAGCAGGGCCCCGACGGTGTAGTCGCCGATGGTGGCGCTGCCATAGTCTCCGATCGCGTCGACCGCTTCAGTGACAAAGTCCTCTGCGGCATCGAGCGCCTCGGCCGCCGCAGCCAGGGCATCGTCGACCGAGACGAGCGCCGTGGCCGCCGAGTCCAGCGCCGGAAGAACGTCATCGTTGAGGTCCTCGCACACGTCCTTGGCCGGCTGGAGGCGGCCGATTAGATCGGCGTAGTCGTCGGCAGGAAGATACTCTTTTAGACCCGCGATGGTTGCGTTGATGTCCCCGAGCGTGTCGCAGGTGCGGACGGCGCCGGTGGAGAGGGAGGAGAGCGTCGCGCTGAAGGTTTGTGCGCTCTCGTTTGCCTGGTCAAAGCTGCTCGCCAGGGTGTTCAGGCTCGACTCTGCGACGCTAACGAGCTTCGCGGTGTCATTCAGAAGCTGATCGGCGGCGCAGGCCGACGCTTGTCCGGCGGGAGAGAGGTCAGAGACTGCGACGACGCCGATCGCGCAGGCGACGAGGATGCAGAGCGAGAGCACCGGGAAGCAGCAGTTGGCCATCAGGCGCGTGGTCCTGCGCGGGCCGTAGAAGTCTCCCGGCGCGCAGCATTTGTGCGCGCGGCAGCGGGCGATCCAGAGCGGAAAACAGCAGACAAGCACCAGCAGCGCGACGGCGAGGCCAGGAATGACGACCGGCAGGAGGTTGGTGCCGTAGGTGCGCAGCACGTCAACCACGTCCGCCTCGCCCTCCTCTGGCAGCAGCTCCCGGAGCGCGACGCGGAACTCTTCGGCGTGCTCAACAGAGACGGCGCGAGAGGTGAGCGTGCTGAGGCGGAGATCCGGCGCAGGGCACATGGCCGCCGACCAGGCATCAACGGGGTAGTCGTCGGAAGAGGAGGAGAGCGGCATGCTGCGCCACGCGGTTGGTGGGTCCGCTACAGCGTGAGCGCGTCTCGGGGTTGAGCACCTCGACCTCGTGGAGTAAGGAAGACACGTATGACAAAAAGAAATTTTACGGCAAGAGTGGTGCTCTTGGGAAGAGGTTCCTCCTTTCCGCTCCCCCCCCGCAAGGCGCGAGACACACACACACACGGCGTGCCCGCACATGGGGAAATGTGGACGGATTCCAGCGACCTGCTGCACGCCGTCACCCCGGGCAGCGGCCTCCGTGGTGCATCTCCGTGGTGCTGTGCAACCACGAGTGGGCCGAGACGCGCGTGCGCCCCGAGGACGGAGGCCGCGTGTTGGTGTAGTGTTGATTTATATACACAACACTACTCAGCCCCATGTTACGCCGCCGCCACCACGCGGCCTCCCGGCCATCTATCTTGTGGATCCCACCTGAGCCCACTCGCGGTGCGAAGGCTCCTAATGCGGCAACTGAGCCCGCAAGGGTAGGGCACTCAGGGAGAGGTTATGTTGGATAATATGTTGTGTTGTGGCGTACTGCTGTGCAGCTGGCGCAGCGAGCCCTGCCACGGCTCGTCGTCGAGATTGGTCGGTGGGTGGTGCCTGTAACAGCTGAGGCAGGGAGACTGCCTGTGAGTAGCGCAGCCGCGCGGTCGCCCGAGGATTTGGGATGACTAGGTAGAGAGACAGGTACGACCGTACCTGGGTATGGCGAAGGCTGGTGGCTAGGGTTAGCTGGGCGCGCACGGCGAGTCCAGTCACATTGCCGCCCCGCAACAGCGATATGAGTGGTCTCTCAGTGCGCGCTCTGCGTCCCTAGAACGTAGCGTGGCGTTGGTGCTGAAGCAATAAAATGGTACTATATGAGGCGGTGAAGCGCATTGGTCGTCAATTTTGCAAGCCCGGGCTTGCAAAGCCGTTCGAAGCGCCTGATTCGAGCGAGTGGAGGCAGGTTCGAGACCCGGTGGGGGGGTTTGGGGGGGTCGCCCGTCGCCCATCGGACCATCAAGGGATCCATCAAATCGATCGAATCTGGTCGACATCTGGTCGACATCTGGCGCGGCTGGTGCCGGCCGCTGCGTCAGAATTTTTTTTGTGCTGGGCACAGGGATGGTTGTGCCGGGCCGCCCCCGCGAGAGAAACTCGTCAGTAAAACTCTCTGGCGGCCCGGCTGTCTGAGGCTGGCACGCAGTGGCAAAAGCCCGCGGCTCGTCGCCAAGGAGTTACGAAGTTTTGGGTGTGTGGTGGTGGGGGGGGGGGGGGTCACGAGGTTCGAGGACCGAGCGACCGCGCGCGCACCCCCCCCCTCGCCTACTGAGTACTGTCCTCTCATCCACGGAACTACAACTAGCGCGGGAGAGCTTCCTGCTGTTTTATGCACATGTGTGTACGCGCTCGCGAGTACTCAGTGGCGCTGTGTGACGCCGTCCACTCGGCGGGATCGCAGCTGCCTCTGCGCGTCCTGGGGAGGTACATTTGTTGCGCGCCGGAGACGACTCGACGTCGCTGAGATCGGAGATCAAGCTCTGACAGGTCGCACGTCGCTCCTTTGACAACGACGTGACTCACCCGTGCAGATCACATCAGGACACGGTCTCGACGCGCTCGGTACGACGCCTGCGACCCGTCTCGGGTCAGGTGGCACGACGCTCATCGCGCCTACCAGCGCTGCCGTACAGATTGCCACGACGAGGTCGAGCACGCTTCTATACGCTCGCCGAGCCTTCCTTTCCATCCCATTAGGCAGCCTGGGAACGGTGGCGGTCAGAGGCAAAGCCTACGAGGGGTGGTGGAACCACATGTCACGGCTACTGCCGGCTCGACGCCACGTCCCCACGATAGCCTCCGAAGGCTGACTTTGCGGCACCATCATCGGACGATGTCGACGAGTTGGGTCGCTCTCGCGGTAGCCAGATGACCTCCCATGCTAGTACCATCGGCTAGGGCCGCAGGGAGCGCGGGGGAGGGCGCTGGGAGCAACACGGAGCTCCGTTGGAGACGTTTTCAAGATTAGCGTGTCAGAGTGAAATGGAACTAGCCTTTGGGGTTTGAAGAAGCGCGCTCTGTACTGAAGAAGCGCGCACTGTACTGTCGCCCCCCAGGCCACCACGCCCCAGCTGTGCGCATGACCGAGGTTTCCGTTTCAGGCGTGTACCATGTACAGATGTGTGTAGAGTGTACCACTGCACAACTCAGCGTCAGCCGTGCTGCCACCACCGGACCCCCCCCCCCCCCCCCGCCCGCGCCCCCCGCCCCCTCCCACCCCACCCCACCCCGCCCCTCCCGCCGCCCACCCTCCCATCAACACTCCACCGCAGCCGCAGGGTCTGTTGCTCTCTGCCGTGCTCGCGCGGCGGTCCCGCCGGGCCCCGCGCCCTCGCCGCCCGGCCGGGGCTGGAGAGGCTCAGTAGAGGCTGATACCGCGCTCCTCGCACACGGCCACCAGCTCAGGCTGCTTGTTGCCCACCCAGAGCACCTGCACGCGAGAAGAGGTGCGACGAGCATTGGGCGAGAGAGGGGCGTGTGGCGAGGGGGGCGTCTGGCGCCTTCAAGCTCGGGGCGGCCCCCTCCTTGAGGGCGGCGGCCAGCGCCTTGCAGCCCTCGTCGCCAATCTTGTTGCCGTTGAGATAGAGCGTCTCGAGCCGCGGCGCTGCCCCGCTCGCGAGGACCTCCGCCAGCTGCGCCGCCTCCGCGTCGCCCCAGCCGAGGTTGATGTAGTGCAGCTCGGTCGCCTTGCCAAACTGCTCCTTGAAGGCGGCCTCGTACAGCTGCTTCACCAGCGGCTTGTCGTCCTTGCCGTTGGTGAAGCTCTTCGTCTCCAGCTCCGCCGCAAACGCAGACGGCAGCAGCGGAGGGCGCCGGCCGCCGTCCTGGATGCAGTCGTTGGTGAGGCTGATGAAGCCGTACTCCTTGCCGGCGCGCATCTTGCCGAGGTCGAGGGAGAGGTCGCCGGCCTTTGTCAGGCTGGCCCAGCTGGCCTCGGTGTAGCACCAGCCGCGGTCAAAGTACTTGGCCACGTTGGTGCCCTCGGCCTGATCCTCCGCCTTGTGGCCGTCCGGGAAGGAGGTCAGCCGCAGCACCCAAGTGTGCTGGTGGGAGTAGAGCGTGCCGAGGCAGCCCAAACCCTCCTTGAAGAGCGCGTTCTGCTTCTTGGTGCGCATGACGCCGTTGGGGGGGTCGGGGTGCTGGTGGAGCGAGCCGAAGTCCCAAAAGACGCCGAGCCGCGTGATGAAGTAATTCGCTAGCAGGGCCTTGAGCGCCCTCGCGACGCGGGCGAGGTTGGCTCCGCGCGGGTCGGGGTGGTCCTTGGTCAGCCACGGGTAGGAGAGCGCAGCGACGGGAAGCCAGTCATACTCGGTGGTCGCCTCGATGAGGTCGGCGAAAGAGAGGAAGGCCTCTTTGGGCAGCGCCTGGCGGTGGGTGAGGACGCCGCCCGCCTCGGCGTGGCGGATGATCCACTGCGCGTCGAGGAGGGCGGCGGCGCCGCTCTCGAGGACACGCTCCAGGTCGCCGCCGCCGCGCTTGCGCCACAGCTCCAGCTTCTCCTCGTAGGCCAGGCCCGGCTTGCTCGTGCCGCAGCCCATCGCTTCGCCTGCCTGTGTAAGGCCGATCGACTTTGAGCACCTGTCAACAGCGGCTCGGGCAGCGGCCGCGGCCGCAAACGTGAGCTGAGGGCGTGTCAAGATTGTTTGAGGATTGTTTGCGATTTTGGTTGAATCTCGAGGTTCTCGAGGTGGATATCCTTTGGCCGCGTTGGGTAGCGAGGATTGGTGTGACGCGATCCACGCAGGCGTGTTTTCTGGCGGCCGACCGTCAGTGCACGGAGTTGCCCCTTCTCCGACTGCCCCGGCTAGTTCCCGAGTTTCGCGGGAGTGACCCCATGCGTCAAACCCGAGACCTAGCGCGGGTGGGTTGGAGGGGGCTCGCCCCGTTCCTCCCCATCGGGCCGCGTGAGCGGCCACGCCTCGCAGATTCGTTTTCGCGCCTGGGTCAGGCGCGCGGGGCATCCCCCGGGTCGCTCGACCAGCGATCCGAAGAGTGGCCGCTATGCGAAGGAAAGAGCGGGGCCCTCGACGCCTCAGTCCGGCCCTCCGAGGGGGGAAGGGAAGTGCGGGGTCCCCACGGGCGCCTCAGTTCGGCCCTCCCGAGGGGGGGAGGGGAGCAAGGGGGTGGGGGGATCGGGGTGGTGGGGAGGAGTCTCGGGTTTCATGTGGCTAATACTTGCCCTTTCGGGGAATGGCCTCGGCCTGGCGAGTCCAGCTCAACCTGACTTCTTCCCCCCCTCCCTCGAGGCAGCAAGTAGGCAGCGAGAGGAGGTCTCGAGCGCCTATATGAAGGTATGTGAGATGGTGATGGGAATGCGAGCCAAAAATCGGCGAGGAAGCGGCACCGGCGGCACTCCGGCAGCTTGTCGTCGCCGGTGTCAGCTGAGGCGAACGTTGCGGCTGACTTCCCGTCGCAGCCCGGCGACTGCAGCTGGCGTGCCTGGATGAGCCGGTCGACGGCATCGGCATGCGGCACCTTGAGCAAAGTGAGCTCCGCTTTGAGCGCCTTGACGCTCAGTCGTCCGGTGTCCAGCTCGGCGGCGCGCATGAGTGTTGCCGCGTGAGACGCCGGACAGCGGCAGGAGCCAAACGAGAGCGCAGGGCGTGTCACGAAGGAACGCACGAAACTTCCAAGGTCGCAAAAAGTGGAACCCCCCCCCCCCCCCCCCACCACCACACACCACGCGTCCGGGTCCCAGCGGGTTTTCACGTAACAAGTACACACCACGTACTCTAGGACGTGTCACGTACGGCTTTAGGACGCACGCAACTTGACCCCCGCAAGGCGCGCGATACACACGTGGTGGTGTGGACCGTCCCTTCGAGACCATACGCCATACCCGTCACGACACCATACCCCTCAAAAAGTTGGAAGCTGAAGCTCGCGCCGCAACGTAGAGCTAGACCTGCTAGAGGGCGCGGTGCGTCCTAAAATCTAAAATCCGAGGATTAAGGATTCAGGCATCGCTTCAGTGAGGCCAAAGTGAGTGTATGGATGTGTGAGAACGGTACGGGACACGAGCGGGAGGCACGCGGACCAACTCGTCGGTGACTCTGCTGCAGGCCACGCCGTTTCAGAATTTTTCTCAGCGTGAGCGAGACGTGGAAGAGTGCCACCGTCGGGTAGGACGGGTCGGCCCGGAGTATCAGAGTAGCCGATGTGAGGCTACCAACCGCACTCCAAGGACCAAGTGCTCCATCCAGAACATAGACGGCACGAGTACTGACTACGACGGTTCCTGAATTCCCCGGCGCCCCTCCCCGCCCGGCGCCCCCCCTCACCCCTCGCCCCTCACCGGCTGGCAGAGCAGCTCCGCGTCCGACTCCGAGTTTGCCACCATCGCGAGCACGTATCCGTGGCACTGCAGCGGCACGCAGAAACACCCGAGCGTCTTGCCGCGCAGGTCGCGCCGCGCCTGCGGAGCCGCGAAAAGAGGTGTGAACCTGTCGGCAGGTGTGAACGGCGCCTCTTGCCGCGCAGGTCCCCCGCCGCGCCTCCGCCCGCATCGCCGCACGCTCCGGTGCCATCAGCCAGCTGGCGTACTGCCGAATCACGGACCCGCGGCTCGCGCCTCCCCCAATCGAGAAGGGGTGAGTTAGTTAATAGAGGTGAAGGGGAATTGATTCATCAACCCCCCCCCCCCCCCTCCCCTCCCCTCCACCCCCGAGAACGGGCTGATTAGCAAATGGGAACTCAACAACTAGTTGATAATAACGAGCGCGCCTCCCCCCAGCGAGAACGAGTGAACTAGCAAATGCGAATGCAATAACTAATCGATGAAGGAGCGCGCCTCCCCCCATCGAGAACGGGTTCCCCCACCCCCACTTGTGGTGCCCCCCCGACGCGCTCTTCCCCTTCGGCGCCTATTAATTGATGGCAATAGCTCATTACACCTATTAATTAATGGCAATAGCTCTTCCCCTTCGGCGCCGCGTCCGGCCGGCCGACGTACACCTATTAATTAATGCCAATGAACTAGCTCATTAAGCTCTTCCTCGTTGGTGGAGACGGGGGAGGCGTGGGGGGGGTCGGAGACGGAAGCCGAGTCAGAGGCGGCGGCTAGGGCGGAGGTGGGCGGGGCGGTGGCGAGGGAGGAAGCGGCGAGGGAGGAGGCGGCGAACGAGTCCATTCACACCTTGCACTTGTTGTCGTGCAAGTTGACCACGAGGTCCTGATGCGGTAAGTCGACGGGTCAACTAAACTAACCCGGCTGGTGAACTGAAGTAAGCGATTCAATGGGTCCCCACGACAACCTATCACGGGACCTACCCCCCTTCCCCGGAAACATCGGCGAATCTCGTCGAATCTCGTCGAATCTCGGCGCATCTCGGCTCGGCCTCGCCTTGATCTCCCTCGGTATCGTCCCCAAGTCAAACCCGCCCGCCTCCTCCTCGCCCTCTGCCCTGCAAGGCAACGGAGAGACCGCCGCAGCCTCCGCCTCCGCCTCCTCCGCCCTCGCCGCCGCCTCCGCCTCCGCCGCCGCCGCCGCCGCCTCGTGCGCGGCCGACACCTCCTGCCGCAGCGTCTCGACCTAGTTAATCAATCTCGGCAACGGTGAGATTCGTTAATCAGGCCGACCCCCTCTGCCGCAGCGTCTCGACCTAGTTATCCAATCTCGGAAAGTGAGTACTTCGTTAGCCACAGGCCGACCCCCCTCCTGCCGCAGCGTCTACACCCACGAGAACACAACCTCGCCGCCCTCGTACAGCGCGATCAGCTGCTCCACCAGATCGTCCTACAGCCGCAGCCTCCGCGCAATCTCGGGCAATCTCGCGCAATCTGGGGCAATCTCGCGCAATCTCGCGCAATCCCTCGCGTACCTCGGCTGTACCTCGGCTGTATCTCGGCTGTACCTCGGCTGTATCTCGGCGGATCTCGATCTCGGCTGATCTCGGCCTTTGCGGCGCTGCTGAGCGCGGGCGCGTGCAGCACCGGATGCGGCGGCTCTCGCGACGGGTACCTGGATTAATACGTATTAAAAGTGATCTTGATTAGTTAACTCATCGGGTGCGGCGGCTCTCGCGACGAGTACCTGAATTACTTAATTAATGAGCTTAATTAGCTTAATTAGTCAACTCATCGGGTGCGGCGGCTCTCCCGACGCGCACCGTCCAGGCACAAACACCTCCAGCGTCGCCTGCACCGGCGCATTAACTAATGAATCAATGCTGCGCTCAGCTGATGCAACTGAGCACCCCCCGCGCCGCCTGCAGCGGCGTGCCGAGGCCGAACCGAAACCTGATCAATTAACAAAGTACTGCTAATGACCTTAACTCGTTCATCGATCGTGCCGGAGGCCGAACCGAAACCTGATCAATTCACAAAGTACTGCTAATGACCTTAACTCGTTCATCGATCGTGCCGGAGGCCGAACCGAAACCTGATCAATTCACAAAGTACTGCTAAGGACCTTAACTCGTTCATCGATCGTGCCGGAGGCCGAACCGAAACCTCCACTCACGCGCCGAAACGACCTGCAGCACCACCGACGCCCCGCCGCCGCCCGCCGCCTCGCCGCCCTC